AGGTAAGAGCCACTGGTGAGGGTGTGGAGAGACTGGGACCCTCAGACACTGCTGATGGGACTGTCAAATGGTGCAACCTCTCAGAAAACAGTAGGATACTTTCTTAAAAAGCTGGAAATAGAAATACCATGTGATCCAGCCATCCTACTACTAGGCATATTTTGTAGAGAAATAAAATCTGGGACACAAAAAGATATTTGCACACTCATGTTCATTGTAGCACTATTCACAATAGCAAAAAGATGAAAACAACCTAATGTCCATCAACAGAGGAACGGATCAACAGACTATGTACATAAACATAATGTAATACTACGCATGTTAAAGAACAATGATGAATCTGTGAAACATCTCATAACATGGTTGACATTAGAGGCCATTACGCTGAGTGAAATTAGTCAATCATGAAAGGACAAATATTGTATGAGACCACTATTATAAAAAGTCAAGAAAAGGGTTTCACATAAAAAGAAATCTTCTTTGATGCTTATCAGGTAGGTGTGGAACAGAGAGTAAACCACTAACTAGAGGGGAGACAATAAAATAAAATAAAGGCAAAAGCCATGCCGCCACCTGACTCATCCTGTGGCAGTTTGCATGTGGCTGAGATGCTGGAAACTATGACACAGGTGTTTCACATCCCAGCAGGGTCACCCATGGAGGACAGACTTCCATGGTGCTTCCAGATCAAGGCAGACTGAAGAAAGGCTGGCTCGGAGATGTGATCTGCCTGGAGCCTTCCCTGTTGGTGCTGGGGGCAACTGGAGCCTATGCTATGGGTCACAGGATATTGTCTGAGACCTCAACTTCCTTCCTGTGGACCTGTTATCAGGAGGGACCAATCACTGGAGAAGGACACCATGTTTGGTGAAGTGGAGGGCCAGCGAAGGCAAGGGACACCCTCAGCAAGATGATCTGACACAATGGGGTGACAATGGATTCAACAGCGGTGACCATGGAGACGGCGCAGGACCGGGATCTGACACAACGGGGAGACAATTGATTCAACAGCGGTGATCATGGAGGTGGTGCAGGACCAGGTATCGTTTCATTCTGTTACACACAGGTGGGCATGAGTTGGAGCCGGCTTATGGCAACTAACAACAAAGGGCCATCATGTCTCTTTCACCAAGTGGGTCTCATGGCCACCCCCACGTCCAGGCAGCACTTCAAATTACTCAATGTGGTTTTGCAAAAGAGTTTGAAACCACTATTACATTTTCCACTTGGAAAACTGATATCCCGTGGGATAAAGGGACTAGCTTTTGTCCACTGCCTGGAGGTAAAGCTTACTCTAGCTTCTCTTTTTTTTGACTGTTCTTGCCACTTTGTCGTTTTTTTTTTTTTTTCAAAACTGTTTGCAGACATTAAATCAAAATGCTGTTGTTGTTATGTGCCATGGAGTCAGACCCGACTCTTAGCGACCCCTTCTTGGGTTTCCAAGGTGGTATCACTACAGAAGTAGATTACCCAACCTTCCTTCCAAGGAGTGGCTGGTGGGTTTGAACTGCCAGCCTTCTGGTTAGCAGTCAAGTGCCTTAGGCACTGTTCTGGTTACCTAGTGCCACTCTGACAGGAATATACCATAAATGGGATGGCCTTAACAAACAGGAGTTTATTCTTACAATTTGAAGGCTTTAAGTCCAAGTTCAAAGTGCCAGGCTCTAGGGGCTGGGTGAAAGCCCCTCAACCTTGGGGTCCAGCTCTGCCTCCAGCTCCTGGCCCACTGAAGCTAGAGGTGTTTCTTTACTCAGACAGCTGCTGGCTGCTGAGGCTGAGAAGCCCAAGGTTGACAAATAAAATGGCATAGTCCTGATGTTACCAAACCACACGGCAAGCCATTAACTGAAGTTCACTGTAAGTCCCAAGGTCGGCAGAGCATAGCAAGCTGCTGAGCAACGACATGGCTACGTGCAGGGTGCAGGGTCCAAGCGTGCCGTGCCGTAAGGCTAGAGACCATTCCCAAAGCTGCTCCTTATCTACAGGAAGCAGACCACCTTCCCTAAGGCAGCTACTCAGCTGCTTGCAGCAGATCCCACCATGGAGTTGATTACCAGTCTCATCATGCGGAATACTGTATCCAGCTGCCCAGCCACTCAACCAGGCCTAGCCAAGGGGACACACAAACATAACCACCACAGGCACTAAAATGCTAGTTAATTTTAATCTTTCCATCTGCAGGGCAGCAAAGCACCACATGTTGTGGAAACCTTTGCCTGAATTTCTAAACAGGTGAAGCACATCTGAGCGTGTATGTCAATGGCCCTGCACCAGGCGGGACACAGACACTGTACGTACTCCATCATCCCACACTCAGAACAGCATATGCGCTGTGTTGCACTGATTTAACAGCTGAGAGAAATGGCCTGCAGCTTCGGAGGCAGCAGGGTGCGCTGGGCCGACCCTCAGTTTCCATTGCCAGGAAATTTCTCTCCATTTTCTGACAGAGCAATTGGGCAGCTTGGAGTCATTCCACCTCTAGAAAATGTTTCCCTTATTTTAGGCGCTGCTCATGTTACTATTTAGAATGTGTCCAATGTAAATACGTGTTTCCTCACAAGGGACAGATGTTGTTTCCTAAAGAAGTCCCCTGTCCTTTCCTCCTCCTGCTGACCCCTTAGATTCCTCCAGAATGCCCACCCTGGTAGAGTTCACAGCAACAGCTTGTCCCGTGCTACGTGGTGATGACTGTTTGCTGGGGGAGCAGTGACCGGATGGTTGGATCCCTGGAGGTTGGTTAGTTCAACTATCTGGGCACTAATGGAGATTCTGAATACAGTGATGACCATAAATGCATCTAGGGCAAGGACTCATCCATCCATCCCCCCAAACCCATCCACTCATCTACCATCCATCTACCCACTCACCCCTCCACCTGTCCATCCACTCATCCACCCACTCACCCCTCCACCCACCCATCTCCCCATCCATACCTCCACCACCCATCTCCCCATCCATTCCTCCACCTGTCCACCCACCCGTCCATACCTCCACCCACCCATCTCCCCATCCATTCCTCCACCTGTCCACCCACCCATCCACCCACTCACCCCTCCACCTGTCCACCTACCCGTCCATACCTCCACCCACCCATCTCCCCATCCATTCCTCCACCTGTCCATCCACCCACTCACCCCTCCACCTGTCCACCCACCCACCCACACCTCCACCCACCCATCTCCCCATCCATTCCTCCACC